CTGTGGATGCTCCATCCCTGGAGATTTTTAAGAAGAGACTGGACAACCAATTGTCTGAAATGGACATCTCCTACTTGTGCAGGGAGTTAGACCTCGAAAGTCCCTTCCAATTCTGTCTTGTTCCTTTTCATAATAATAGACAACCATGCCCTGTTGGGTCACCGTTTCAGACACTTCCTTGCTTAAACAGAGAAAAAGAATGGCCAAGAAGTGAAGATGCTTCTTAGATTAAAAGTGAAATGTTTTCAAGGAAGGAAAAAAAAATACGAAAGCTCAGTTGCCTTTTGAAAAGAGCAACTTTGGGACAGAATGACCGAGGGTGGACAAAAAAGCAGTGGAAGGCAAGAGTGACTTACTGTACTTTTCAGAGTATAAGACACACCAAGGTTTTGAAGAGGCAAATTAAAAAAAAAAGTTCTTGCACTCTGCAAACCTCCTCAAAACAGCCCGTTTTTTGTGAAAACAGGCCCGTTTCCCCCCCACCAAAAGGCATGGATAGCCTTTAGGGGGTTGCAGAGTACTCCTAGGGGTGGGGGCAAAATGAGCAAAAAATGGCCCGTTTTTGTGTGAAAACTAGCCCTTTTTTGTAAAAAAAGGGGGGGGGCATGGACAGCCTTTTAGGAAGCTTATAGAGTGCTCCTGGGGGCTGGGGGGGGGGTAAAATTGAGCAAAACAATGGCGTGTTTTTTTCCTCATTTCTGTCCTCCCCAGCCCACAGGAGCTCTCTAAAAGCTTCCTAGAGGCTATCCATGCCCTGCATGGCCATTTTGGTGAAGGGGGCGGGGTTTCAGGAGGCCAAAAGTGCTGTATTCAGTGTATAAGATGCACCCAGATTTTCAGCCTCTTTTTTGAGGGAAAAAGGTGCGTCTTATACTCTGAAAAATACGGTATATCTTTCTGCTGGCTTCCTTCTTCATTGAGTTTCTTTGTGAGAATCTGTCAGGCAGCATAGGAAATTTTCCTTCCTTCCCTCCTTCCCTCCTTCCCTCCTTCCTTCCTCCATCCCTCCCTCCCTCCCTCCCTCCTCCCTCCTTTCCTTCTTTTGGTATGGTTATCAGAAGGAGGCCTATGTAAGTCCCCTCTTCACAAGGTCTTCTCTGTAATAATTGACCAGCCTTTCCCAAAGCAGCCCCCAGATGATCAAATTCTGTTCCCCCATACCCACCGATAGACCCCAGCCTTCTTTGCTTTGGGGAAGAGGTAAAGACAGCATCATTTCATCCAGCTTTTTGCCTGAGGTGATTGATAGGAATGTGTTTACATCAATTTTATTTCATTGGTTATCTCATTTATTGTATTCTGTGCTACCTATATAACTCGTTAAGATTGAAGCAAGTTAGAAATATTGCAAAACATACAAACAAAAAAAGGTTTTTGCCTTTCTCACTCTTCATTCAGTTCCTTGTCCAATAAAGTTTTGAATATGAAGCAAAATGTTCCAGCAAGATTTCTTCAGTGAGAAAAATGGATAGTACTCCACTAATGTAAATGTCTACCCAAATTAAAAGCAAACAAACAAACACAGGATGCTATAACTTCTTTTTCTAAATATTCTTTTATGGATGTGTTTGACCAGCTTGGAGATTCCTGGGAAGCTTAGTAAGATGACTGTAATGAGGAGTGCTCTATAAAGAAATGTGTTGTGGCCCAATAGCAGAGTCAGACAGTGAGGAGGTTGGGTGGGGAGCATGGGCCAGTCCTGGAGGCTGGGGAAGGCTCGGATGAGGGCTCTGCATCAGAGGCAGAGAGAGGGCTGAGGCTGTCTGACAGAGATCAGGTAGACTAGCTAGACAGCAGTGAGGCAGAAGAAAAGCTAGAGCCTGTTCCCAGTGTGCGCATGCGCAGAGCTGCCAGAAGAAAAGAACAACTCAGAAATCAGGATCGACTTGGGAGTAAAGTCACAGGTGGAAGGTGATTGGCCTCTCTCATAGGAAATAAAAGAGGCCTGAAAGCGGAGTCGGCTTTTGCAGGAAACAATTTGTTCATTAGATTCATTTTAGGTGTTTGAAGATCTGTCCATGAATCTCAGAGACTCTGTGCCCAGTCTTTCCTTGTATAGCACCTCATTTGGAAAATATTTACATGGCAGCTTTCCAAGATAGATAAGGTCTGTAGTCATAATTACTCCTTTGAGTAATTTGTTTGCCAGGCCTTGCTGAATATGAATNGTGCGCATGCGCAGAGCTGCCAGAAGAAAAGAACAACTCAGAAATCAGGGTTGACTTGGGAGTAAAGTCACAGGTGGAAGGTGAATGGCCCCTCCCATAGGAAATAAAAGAGGAGCGAAAGAGGAGGGGGCTTTTGCAGGAAACAATTCGTTCATTCGTTCATTTCAGGACTGTGAAAATCCTGGAAAATATTTGGAAAATATTTACACGGCAGCTTTCCAAGATAGATAAGGTCTGTAGTCATAGATTCACCTTTGGAAGACTGTTTACCAGGCCTTTGTTGAATGTGAATGAGAGGAATTCACGTTCATTTAATAAAAGGGGTTTTGTTGGGACCAGGTCTCTCCCTTGTGCTTGTTGGGGAAGCCTAGGTGAGAATAGTCTTATGGATGAGCTTCTTGGATGAGAAGCAAAACGTTTTCAAGAAAGAAAGAAAAAAGCCAAGAAAGTCCAGTTGTCTTTTGAGGGGGGGGGAACAACCCACCTTTGGGACAACCGTGACCTGACTGCCTGCATTCATCTCTGCAATTCTCTTGCCAAGGTTTTCAGCAGAAGCCGTTTGCCCTGGCCTCTTTCCTAGAGCTGAGAGGGTGTGGCTGGCCCAAGGACACCAGCTGTCTTTCTGCCTAAGATGGGCCCAGAATACACCATCTCCCTGTTTCTCGCCTGGTGCCTTAACCATTTCAGCAAAGTGGTTCTCAAATATGTGTAATTCTATATTAGTACTGTAAATGTAAAGGCGGTACATAAATAATACTGTAAAATGTGGTGATTCCTAGAGGCCATTTCCCATAATGGAAAAGGCAATTCTGAACCACACAGGTAGCTTTGTTAGTTGAAAGCCCAGCAATTTAGTACTGCCTAACAGTTTAAGAAAGGCGTTGCAACTGACAGGTTGTAGATCAAAGAATATCAGCTGACACAGAATGTGATTTCTACTGCTGACACATCGTTCTTTTCATCATTACCATTTAAGCAGGAGCGAGAGAACTGGATTTCATTTTCTAAACAATATCTTTCTTATTGATATTATATTACAGCTAAATAAATACTGGTCTGTGTTTTGTAGCTTCTAGTTGATATAATGGAGTTATAAGATTTCATATGTGTGAGTTATCTGATTAACACAAACATGATTACCGATGCATGCTTTTAAATTACAAAAAGAGGCAGAATATATGAAAACCTTTGCAGCTTCTTTTCGGCTTTAATTTGCAGTGTAATTTAATTAAATGTCTATTGGGCAAAAACCAACAGTAACTTTCAGGCAAAGCTGTGAGCATTGGGTACCTGCTTTAGCACATTTTGACTTCTATCACTGTTTTCTTTTCTTTAGCATTATCTCAAAAGCCAATGCAATAATCTACTTTTAATAATAGGAACAATAATCTGTGCAAATTATTTTTATGAATACGGCTACAGTTGTTCATAGTTGGACTGCAGATTTAAATGTGTGTGTGTGTATAACACCAGCAGCAACCCACCCCTGATGCTGTTAGATAGATAGATAGATAGATAGATAGATAGATAGATAGATAGATAGATAGATAGATAGATAGATAGATAGAT